TACAGAATACAGGAGAAAGGTCGTCCACCTGATCTCCTCTTCGACGCACATCTAATGCAGTGAGATGCGGTGCCTACAGTTGTTAGCAATATCCGTTATAGAGAGCCAAACAGTTGGCTTTGTCATATATACACACTTATTGTTTCATTTGTAGAAGGGGGGAGAAGGAGAGAAAGTCCGTCCGGCTTACTATTTTCTCTGTATCTCCCCGTTCCTTTGCTAAGAATGTATACGGAGGACCATAATTCTTGAATACTATCTATTTCTCATGGTTAGACGGCGAGCTTTGTGACATATTCATCATCCATTCCATTCTTCCGTCAAAGTGTCGTTGAGATGAAGTTGAAAATACGAAATCAGCTGATCAATTACCAATGGTGGGGTAATCTAACTACGCTACCCTTTACAGTACTAGCGCACTGATGTAAAACGCGAATTTCTAAAGTTTGACGCGTCTTACGCAAACTACGGTTCTTTAATTGAATCAGTTAATGCACTCCATTGATCCATCAATACCCTGAAAATGATACAAGCTCAAGAACACTAGCATATCTTCTCACTGGTTCGATTGATTTTACAACAATTGTTTAGATCTTGAATCGTCAACATGGCACTGCAAATGTCATCTCGTGGGCGTCGGTCGAGGGAGGAAATCGATGGCGATGAAGGTTCACAGAATACTATACCCCCGCGACCTGCAAAACGATCACGTACCATACATTACGAATCTGAAGAAAGAACCCTTGAACCCGACACTTCGCCAGCTTCAGGAGAAGAAGTTGACAGACAAAATATCGGAAGGGTCCCCGGCACTCCTACAATCGCATCCGAACGCGGCAAATTTGCTCCAGGCGCTATAGTTCGAGTGAAGCTCAATAATTTCGTTACCTACGAGAGCGCCGAGTTCTTTCCCGGCTCAAATCTGAACATGGTAATCGGTCCAAATGGTACTGGTAAGAGTTCCGTGGTTTGTGCCCTTTGCTTGGGGTTGGGTTCTTCGCCAAAAAATCTTGGTCGGGCGGACAAAGTGGGAGAATTTGTCAAACATGGTTCAAAGGATGCTTCCATTGAGATCGAACTTCAGAAGAGAAGCGACGAACGCGAAAACCATATTATCAAAACTCGAATTATCAAAGATGGGAACAGTTGCGAATTCTGGATAAACAACAAGAAGACAAATCACAAAAATGTTCTAGCTTTGGTCAAGGGATTCAGCATTCAAATTGATAACCTTTGTCAGTTCTTGCCGCAAGATAAAGTTTCCGAATTTGCGGCATTAACGCCCGTCGAACTTCTGCATCACACGCAAAGGGCAGTTGCTGCGCAAGAGATGCTGGACTGGCATGATGAGCTTAAGAATTTGAGGAGAGAAGAGAAATCGAGACAAATGCAGCTTGAACAAGACAAGGAACAGTTGGTGAATCTTGAAAAACGGCAGGCGGGCCTGCGTCCGGAAATGGAACGACTCGAAGAGCGAATTCAGATTGAGAAAGACTTAGATAAACTAAAGAATAGTATTCCTTTTGTAGAATATAGAGACGCACGTCTTCGATATCAGGAATGCAAGGAAGAGAAGATAGAAGCAACCAAGCGATTTCGTACTTTGGAAAGCCAGGTCGAACCGACTCTGCGGTTTGTTGACGAAAAGGTTTCTTTGGAAAAGGAACTAGCCAAAATCGTGTCCAACCGCAGGAATAACCTACAACATGCAGAGGCAGAGGCTGACCTTCTCCTTAAAAAAGTTGATGAATGGGATGACAAAATAGGGGATTGTGATCGGAGAATCAAAGTTGTTCTAGAGGCAGAGGATAAACGCAAGAAAGATCTCGCAAAGGTCAAAAGGACCATAATTGACCTTGAAGCCCGCCTGCGAGAACCTGCAATAGAATTTAATCCCACTGAATACAACCAAAATATCGTAAGTTCCCAATACACTGACTCCTATATAGATACTTACTAAATTTCCACCTAGAGAGCAATCGAGCAGGACATCAGAGCCATCAAAGCAACAGTAACGGAGCTCGAACAAAGCAGAGAAGCGCTTAAAGCCAAAGGGCGAGACTTACGAGCTGAACAAGACAGGGCAAGGCAGGCTCTCGCTGACTTTGATAGCCAAGCTGGGAAACAGATTAGTAAGATTGCACAGTATTCTAGAGATACTGCTACAGCCTGGAAGTGGGTTCAGGAAAACCAAGACAAGTTTGAGAAAGAGGTCTATGGCCCACCATTGATAACATGCTCCGTGAAAGACCCAAGATATACTGATGCTGTAGACTCATTGTTTCGTTCGAGCAACATGCTCACTATCACCGCACAAACCCAGGCTGATTACAAGCGATTAAACAATCAGTTTCATTCAGCGGAAATGAAACTGGCGGAGGTCAGAATACAAACGAGCACCCAGACACTCGCCGAGACTATTGGTCGGCAGTCGGCTACTACAGCTCAACTGAATAGTGTCGGTCTTGATGGGTGGGCTATTGATTTTATCGATGCTCCGGAGCCAGTCCTTGCCATGCTGTGTAACGACATCAAAGCTCACAGGACGGCAGTTACCCTACGAGACATCAGTGACGATCAATATGAAAAGATTATTCGTACTGGAATTTCATCTTTTCTGACAAAAACCACTTCGTACAAGATCACTACGCGAAGAGAATATGGTGCCACGTCAACCCAGACTTCCGGAATCAATCGAGCCAAATTTTTCGTCGATGGTGTTGTGGACACTTCAGGCCGGCGTGTGATTGAAGAAAATCTTGCAGACCTCGACCGAAAATTCGAATCCCTGAAGAGGGAGGCCAAAGACATCACCGAGAAGATTGTGCAGTATTCGAGTACTGCAAACCCGAAAAGGGATGAACTGGTAGGTCTTCAACGGTTCTCGTGTTAGCGTACCTTACTGACGAGATTTTGAAACCAGGACGCGCTTATGAAAGAGAAACAGCAAAAGCAGAAAGCTTATGGTGAACAAAGAGCTCTTCCAGGATTGCTTGGTGAGTGATAGAGGCATAGATATACTTGAGCATATACTAACATGATAGCAGCTCGAGAGAAGGAGTCTTTGGAGAGATTTGAAACGTCTAGCTCTGAATCTAGGGCAGAAATTCAAGCAATTGTAAAAGAACAAGACATCGCTGGTCTCAAAAAGGGAGAGCACGTGATGAAACATATCGAGCAAATCAACCAGATCATTGCTTGTTCCGAAGAACTTGACGAGGCCGAAATTCGACGTCTTGAAGCAGGTTCAGATGCGGACGCTCTACGAGAGCGCAATAGTGATATTGTAGCAAACCTTGAAACTGAACGTACACGACTAGGGGAAATCGAAGCACAGTCAAAGCGAGCAACCCTGACTGCACGAGCTGCGCTAGAACGATGCAAACAGATCAGAAGAGAGGCTGAGGAGAGGAATGATCAAGATTCCCTAAATTACTTCTCCAGCATTTCCCCGGATAGGACCGTGGAAACTTTACAGCAAGAGATTAACAGCGAGGAACATAAACTCGATTTTATTCAAGCCAACAATCCAAACGCTATTAGAGAGTATGAGAAACGCCAGGTTGACATCGGTCGATTAAACACCAGGATCGCTGGGACCGAGGGCGAACTTAGAGACGTCGCGCAAAAGGTCACTGAGATCATGGCAAAATGGGAACCAAGACTTGATGCACTTATTGAGCAGATTAGTCAGGCCTTTTCCCATAATTTCGAGCAGATTGGGTGTGCTGGTGAAGTTAGTGTGTATAAAGAAGACGATTTTGAAAAATGGGCAATTGAGATTAAGGTCAAATTCAGGTACAGTCACTTTATCAAAATATCTCAGACATGCCAACCTATTAACATCATAACAGAGAAAACGAAACCCTTCAGCTCCTTGATAAGCACCGTCAATCCGGAGGTGAACGCTCTGTTTCCACAATTTTTTATCTCATGTCTTTACAATCACTCGCTCGCTCTCCCTTCCGCGTCGTCGACGAAATCAATCAAGGAATGGATCCTCGTAACGAAAGAATGGTCCACGGACGTATGGTCGAGATTGCATGTCAGGAACATGACAGCCAGTACTTTCTTATTACGCCAAAGCTACTGCATGATTTGAAATATCATCCCAGAATGAAGGTTTTGGTCATTGTCAGTGGTGAACATATGCCAGACGACCAAAAGAATTTCAGTGTGAAACGCACTCTGGAGATTAGAAGACGTATGAGGGGTATTGCTGCTGCGTGAGTCTTGAAGTATCCGATTGGAGTTCTGGGTAAGGTCGTTATTTAATGAATCCTAGTGGTGGGGCTATGGTGTCCCGGTGTATAAAAGGGATCTTCTACACATTTCATTGTGTTTTATAATTTTATGATACCCATGATACGAGGAATCTATGGCTTGGGATGGCTCTGAATGACACGTAATTCAGTTGATGATGAGGCCATCCGAGTTTACATATAGTTCAATGTAAACATCTCTTTCGTACAGGCTGATATGGCTTAGTTATCTATCTAATGTAGTCGATCTATCAGACCAAAACACCAACCAAACTAATACATTGGTGCTCCTAAATGATTATCTCCATGTTTCTCTTCTTGTCTTTCTTTATGAAGTTTTCTTCGCACTCCGCCCCCCCTCCTTTCTCACATAAATGTCATCTTGCCCAGCTTCGTTTCCAAGGCTGGCTTGTTTGTTGGAACAATCTTGAAATGCTTCACTTATTTTACATGATTTTCATACTCCACACATCTTTTGTCTATTTATCGGTAAGAAAAGAGATCGTAGGACGGCTTATTTTATATTCAGGATACTGGCAATTCTCCATATCCAGAAACTTACAATTTGGTATATGCTGCTCCTGAATCAATATCACAGTGCAGAATTTCTTTCGATAATCTAGAGACTTGTGGAATTATTCTAGAGGCTTCAGAAATGGGGCTGTACATCCAGAAGTACCAATCGAAACAGTAATTCATCGCATCTTTTTAGAGAAAGATTAAAAGCGTTCCAAGAATCTACAGAACCAATTTTCCAAAATCCTTTTCGTGATCCTTCCTCCCCCAGTCTCGTGCTTTCGCTCTAGAATATAATGAGAGCACCGCTTCGCCGAGAATTCGATCATAGTGCGCACGCAGCGTGTGTAAATCTTCAATCGAATCGTATACTAGCACAACTGACCTAAGAATATTATTCAGTCCCTCCTCTTCGTATCTATTGTCCCATGAAGCTAGTATATCGGCAATAGGCTGGTTTCGCAGTAGTCTTCTCATTCCACTATCGAAACTCTTGTCAATCCAAGATCGAATGTCCATTATCTCCTCTGCTGAACTACTCAACTTATACCCTGCCAGGTGTGTGTTCAGCTCTTTTAGTAAAGGTACCGTGTCTATCCACGCTATTTTTGAGCTGCCAGATTTCACATCTGGCGAAGATGGAACAGGGTTTGATGTGTCGTATTGTTTTTCTTGATACGCGAATTTGCGTTTTTTAGGCGAATGTCCGTCCATATTCTCCTGCAAGTCGAGTTCCTGGTTCTTCCTAAATACTTTCTCGAGTTCGTCATCCAATTCTTTCCGAATGGCTTCCCTGAACGAACTAGCAAGGATTTCTTTCTTATCATAGTCTTTGTTCCTCCTCTGATCCTCGTCCCTTTTATGCTGGTTCGTTTTGTGATTCTCCATTCCATACTTATCCATTTTTTTGTCTTCCATTTCGTCCAGAATTTCACCCTCTTCCTTTATGTACTCGCCAATTTTGTGATCCTCTATTTCGCCCTCCGTTTCGTCCTCGTCCGGTTTGTTCTCTCCCTTCTTATTCTCTTCCCTCCCATTCTCTCCCGATACATCGTCCTCATTCGTTTCGTTCTCGTCCATTTCATCCTCGCCCAACTCGCCGTCGTCCGGCTCATCAGAGGCCAATATTGCGTCTATTGATGCTAATTCAGCTCTCGCTTTTGTCAATTCTGCTTCTAATTCTGCTCGTTCAACTCTCAAGGTTTCAGTTCTCATCCTTTCTATTCGAGAATCTGTTTCTGCCATCCCAACTTGTAGCTGGTCGAACTTCAATCTTAGTCTTATCACCTCCGTCTGATCAGGGTCCTTCAGTGATTGTCCTATACATTTTAGGATATCAAGTTTAAGCTTGAGTCTAGCGTCTTTGAGTCTAGCGTCTATGGAAATATCCGGGTTGCCAACAGAGGTATTAGAAGGAGGCGATACATTATTTGTAACGGGTTTTACCACAGGACCAGTCCCTGAATAATAACAAGGGGGTGATATATATTTCTAGTCCTCGTGTTAGAGAAACATATTCTTCAAGTGAATCTTCTGAAATGACATACCCATTCATAGTCTAAAGGTGTGAGGATTGGAATTATCGGAATACTCATATCAGGCCGCTCTAGTAAGTTTCTCTAAATCTTGCGTTGGCATAAAGGGATTAATCCAATACAAGCTTGACATACCCGCGCTTCTTGGATTCGATTTTCATAGCCACGAGCGACCATCTGCCGCCTTAGCATATCTATCAATGAATCAAATTTTTGTATGACTTGAGATATCATCAACTCGAAGCCTCCAAAAAGTTAACTACCCAGATCCGAATCACAGGCGTGGTCCGGATTTAATGCATTAAAATCATAAAATTGTCGGCTGGTGCGCTATTCTATGCGAAGTTGGTTGTGGATAATTTATTCTTATGCTCCTTGGTAAGTGATGCTCAATGCATCGATATCCTGAATTGGGGTAAACTGCTTGAAGAATGTATATTTGTGATGTAATTGACGGAAAGCGTGGAGTCGAGGAAAACATAATGATGCTTTTGATTATCCCTTCCCCCAAAACCTTTACAGACTGTTTCTGCTTTACAGAACAAGAAAGTGCAAGTCTCGTCTGAAGAGTATAAACTTTGCTAAGATGGTAGTATGGGGCTCCAGTGACCTTTTGGAAAGTATACTTGGGCACCGCTCTTTTCGATGTGTGACTTCGCCCAAAGGAGTATTTAGACCTAGCTCTGAAGATTCTTGCACTCATTCTGGGACTATTCCTTTTCAGTTGTGCGAACATGCCTGCAGATATGGAGTGGAGTCAGCCCCAAAACCAAAGGAGCAACGATAAATTCAAACTTCTAGTTTATTTTATAGTGGATATCTCAGTTCTTCAGTCTCCTTACCACCCAAAGAAGCGTGTTATCACTTATGGCCCTGTGGGATTCCATGCGCCTCCTATTTCTAGGATATCAGACAACCTTGCCTAGCAGAATAAATATAGGCTCCTCATATATGACAACAATACAATGTTCAAAGTAGACTCGAGAAATCAAGCAACCAGTATCATCTGAGTGGAGTCGGAAATTAGAAGCTTCAGATTATCGGCCTGTACTTTGAACCATCGATAATCAGCTAGGCACAAATTATGCCTCTCAAGATTCAAAACGCAGCGCTGAACATTCGAGATTGATAAAATATCTATCCTTGAACGAAATATAACACAGTGTATCTACCTGAACTGAAAGCGGTCGAGTGATCTTATCCCCAATTGATATAATGTTTCCATAACTAGAGATTTAGGTCGAGCATATGATTTGAGAAGAGGTGAGTAGCGTGGATACCCCCGCGGAGGAAAGGGTGAGTTTTGGAGGCAAGAGAAAAACTTGCGTTGTAACGGGAGGTTGGAAGTCGTTCTAGGTGGTGTTTGGAATATCGTAAAAGCATGGGAAGATTGAGTGTGAACATGGAAAATTCTCAATCCGTTCGATTGAAGGAGGTTATGGAGAAAAGGTCTTTGTCGAAGAAACTCTAATGAGCCATTATATTCGCTCATTTGTACGTACTCTAATCCGAACGACACAGGCGTGGCTAGTCAACATAAGTGGCATCAAAAAAAAAGAGAAACCATATGAAAGAGCCAGACATGGTGAAAAGCAAATCTCTTATCATCTTGACACCTGCGGAAGGAACGTCAAATAGGCAGGACCTTCCTCATAGGCAATTCTCATGCACGTGCTAATATCGATCCGTAACTTTCAAATGAGATAAAATCTAATTGAAGTCATACGATCCATGAATCATACTTTTCAAACACCTACCTATGTCCCGATTCATCTCAATTCCGATATACAATTGTTAAGGGATCAACAAGCAATGAGGGGATCCAATGAGGCAGAAGATTCTTTCCACTGCTTTCCTGATTTGTATCCCGAACTACGATATCAAATATGGCGTCATACTCCTGCTCTATTTCCTCGAATCATTGAAGTCAGACCCTGCACAACTCCGACCGAAGCATGGGATCCCATAACCACCAAACATCATGTTAGAGTGACTGCACCTATTGTCCTCCTACAAATCAACCGCGAAGCTCGAGAATTGCTACTGCCATATTATACTCTGCTCAGCTCAGACGTAACCTTTACCCCGATCTCCCATTATCACCTAGCTTCTCCAAATCCTCACGAGAAGCCACCAATGGTCAACTTCGATACGGACACTTTATATTTCAGCGTAGCTTGGAGTACTACCGAAAAAATTCCATATCTCTCATTCATACAACGACTGTTCCAAAACTTCGATCAAGATAAACAACGAGTACGAAGAGTGGCGGTAGATAATTCCTCAAAGTTGTCGAACTTGATAGACTTTCCCTTCAAATTGAGACAGTCTGCAAGCGGCGAACATGGCATCACGAACATCCCACCTTTGCAGCGATCGGAAGATTCCTCTCCTGAACAGATGAAATCTAATGGTGGCGAATATGATGCTAAGGATCCTACAGAGTTCTCTTTGAATTCGAGACATTGTAATGAACGCCAAGCCGCCTCGGAAACTTGTCTATTGGATATGAAATCAGCTCTTTTGGAGTTCAAGAACTTGGACGAATTGGTCATAGTCGTTAGGCCTACTCACTTGAGGGCTGATGTGGTGCTGGTTTGCTTTGTAGATCTGGGGAACGCCAGCATTGGAGAAGAAGAGGAGTGTATCGATATCCCACGTATACTAGGATCCGGAGGGTGGAAAATACCCAAAATAAGAATTTGTACAACTCATGTAGTTCCAGTGGACAATCGGAGAATGGAATCACAGAGAGCCTATCTAGAGAGAGTATATGGAAAGGCTTTCGTTTCGAGTTTTACTAGAGAATAACATTATTAGCAAAACAGAATGTCGAAAATACATGAAATGGAAGATTTCGCATTCGGCTTAACTGTTTAACCGATGTTACCCGACGTCAAATTATTTCTTTGACTCGGAATTCTGTGAACCATATATATATTTCCTTAACTATTTTCCACGCAACAACTTGCCTTAATGGTAAAATGACCAATTCGAGTTCACCCGAATATCACTCTCGGTCGTCTAGTTGGTTTATGACGTCAGACTGTAATTGTTAATTGAAATCTGGATGTCGCGTGTTCAAATCACGCCTGAGAGAAAGACCTTTTTGCATCTTCCTTTGGAAGGGTTCTCGCAATTCTCTGCGTTTGCTTTTTGCTTTTGTTGTGAGAGGCGTGGCGGAGATGGGGAATTGCGGGTGGATATAGGTGGTGGAGCTGAGATGGAGACAGCCGAGGTTTGTGGATGGGGTCTGTCTCAATGTCTTTTGGTTTAACTTTACTGATAATTAGTTAACTATTAAAATCAAATATTCGTAATCATTTCTAGTCTCGTCAGACTTTTCAAAACATAGATTTGCAACTGAAACTCCTATCACTAGTAACATTGTTCTATTACATGTGATGAGATGTGTAATAGTTCAAGTCAAGGTGTTTATTGAGGTGTAAGAAGTAGCGTAAAAAATCAAAAAACGATTCAGGATTCCTTGAGCTTACCTTGGTAAGAGATCAACCGTCATATATATTTTCGAGATGAGCTATGATATATATCCTTTGTAGAAACGAGAAAATAAAGATGAGGGCATGTAAACTTCTTGTATGGCTACAATACCCAGGAGCACCATCCCAGCATAGAACTCTATCTGGAACAACCTTCCTATGACTCTGGGGGTTTCCAGAACTCTGGGAGCTCTAGGAAACCTGTCCTAGATGTAAAATTCATCCTGGCTAAGAAATCCTAGTCTTGGGTTTTTATCCAAGTTAAGATTTCCGGCCTAGCTTTCTGTCACGGGTTTCTAGTACCTGGGTCCTCTCTACCGGCACCGTGATATATTCAAAATATCTCAGAATACTATAGATCCTGGAAGTAGTATCGTTGTAGGACATAAAGATGTATAGGACGCTCTTCCTATAAGTTAGTTGTTTGTGTATGCATGCCCCAGATAGTTTATATGATCTGGATCGTCTGTCCTAAATGCCCATTAGTCCCAGGACCAGTATCTTAGAACAAATCCAAGCCTAAGACGGCTACCCTGGCATGCTTACTAAGCACACTAGGACTACCCCAATAGAATAATCATCCATGAGCTGAAATATGCACGACGGTCATTTATCCGTGGAATACTATCCATAGTGGGTTGCGAGCCAATGCGGGCTGAGTTTCGCCGCATACATAGGAATATATATCGCTTTGCATGATTCATCCCACCATTTTCCCCCTTGCATATCACACGTTTTTCTCCATTTTATATCACGTCAGTCTTTTAATTAGCAAGTGGAGCTTTCCAAAAGTGGATCAAGCTCGGAGAGAAGGTTCTTGAATCTTGAATCATGATAGATCTAGAAGACTCCAATTCAAGTCCTTGTGTTGCAGACACTAGAGATGCCCTAATAACTAACAACCGTTCAAATCATCCGAGTCCGACGGATGCAAAAAGTACAAACTACGATATCTTCCACCAAAATCTCAGCGCAAACCCAGATAAGAATGGTCCACATGTATCCTGGCAGCTTAGGAAGAATCTGGTTGAGATTGAGTATGACATCCAGGTGGCATTTTTAGACAAGGCGCTGGCTATCGCAAAACTGGAATATGATGTTCGGCCAATATTTGAAAGGTTATCAGCAGTTTCAGGGCCATCTAATCTATTTTCTGACACTGAGAAGGCATTCGCGTATGCGTTGCTTTGCTGTGCGGTGCTAACGAGAGTCTTTTCAACGGAAGCGGATTGTTGGTTTCTGAACCTTGCGGTTGGGGTAAGGCTTCTCGTGTGATGGACGATATATCTGATTGCGCAAATAACGGACTATGCGGGTAGGCGATATTCAAGACACGGGCAGGCGTTTGCTTTGATGATTCCCGTCCATTCTTGAGGGCTCTGCAAAACGTTGAATACGGCGGGTGGAAAAGGTTGATTGTATCTAATGAGAAAGGTTTTGAATGATAAGTGTTGGTAGAATTATGCTATAGCTTGATCCGCCTAACGATTGGTCTCCATGAACAGAGCCTACAATGCATGTACAGCGTTCCGTACACATTGTTTGATGCGTGGTGGAGGCACAGAGACAATTGGTATAAAGTTTTAAGTTTGATCGATAGAAAGTTAAGGAAGATGGTTTCTCTCAGAGTTTAAGAGAGACAAAAACAGATCATCTGTCATCCTGTCCCCAACCTTTGTATCAGTCTCTCAGTTCAGCCTCCTGTTACCCTCACTACCTAACCTCAAATAATCGTGGCTTCATTCAAAGGCTGATTGATGTATTATGACTATCATTCCCCGTTTTCCCCATTATATATTTCTCTCCACTTCACACTAGGTCACATGATCATTAATATAGTAAGAGTAAATTCATAATCGATTCAGTCTATCTATAGCTAAGCTATATGAATTATATAATATGTTTATATAATATTAATTATATAAGAGAAGGAAGAGAAATAAAAACCCCTATTTTCTTTTAGATAATCTTTAAGTTTACTATTATAAAATTCTATTATATCATCGTTATATATAATATTACTTCTAATATAATATTCATCGATAATAATAATAATGATATTATCTTTAATAATATTACTCATTTAGATAGTATACTTATAGAATAGTATTCTTTCTTTAAAAGAAAATATAATCTCTTTTAACTTATATATTTTATATATATATCTTAGAAAGTTTATTTCATACTTAGTTCATATCATTATAAGCAATTCACTTTCTAGAAATGACATCTAGTTGTATCTAATTACATTATAAAAGACAATCATTCTCTATTTTTTTAGTTCTCAGGTGGCTCAAATAGCTGAATACCAACTAGCCTCCTTTTGGCCTAGCGTTAATTGATATCCACAGCGGTCTTTCCCTTGTGATTCTCAAATACCATACCACCTCACAAAAGTCTATCAACTTCTACCTGTCCATCCATCTACCAATCAATATGATCACACATAAAGTAAAACGAGATCTACAAAAGGCTGGGCAACAACCATCAAGACCGTAGTCATCCTCTCATCCTTTCGCAAGAGCGCACGTCTAGGAAAAATGTTACTTCCCCAAGAACAATCTATATCCAAAGATAGGAATACTGAATCAAAGCAACCATTCCCTTCCCCAACCAACAATACATTATCAATAACCAACAATACATTTGATATAGAGGTATATTATTCTCATTCTGATGTATTACAAAGCTAACTCATATCAAGTTTTCACAAATCGAGAATCATCAATTAAAGCGAAAACGATCACAGAACGAGGCCATTACCTCTTCTATCATTCCTTTCGAAAAACGACTACAGTTATCGACTCCACAACCTCACATAGAGAATACAATTTGCGAGAATATAGCGATTGGTATTAACAAGAAGAAGATTGACTCGCTTGAATATTGGATAAAGAATTTTTGTTGGCCAAAAGAATACTTTGAACCAGAGAATAATATGAATCATCTATTTGCAAGGAAGAAATCTTCTTCGACTCTTCGTGACAAGCAATCCGAAGCTAGCTCTTCAATATCTAGCTTTATTACACCTAGCGATCAAAAGCCGAGGGAAGTCAAAAGTGCTCCGTATCAAAGCCCGCAATATAAAATCCTACTCGAGACCAAGGGTAGCTTTATGCATAAATCGGATTTGGGTATCGCGGATACAAGCAAGACCATTTGCCGGACTCTCCTTGAAGCTGAGCAAATAGTTCCAGAGGATTCATTGTTTCAGGATGATCTCTTTGAAGAGACGTGCGAAATGATACAAGACAGGAACGAGGCCAAGGTTATTCAAGATATTGCTCGACTGATTGTTCCTTCTGCTCAGTCTCTAGCTATACGTGGTGCCAAGCATTTAAACCCCTTGATCGAAAGTATCAACGAAGGCTGGAACAATTCCATCGCTCTAACCAAGCCTCGTCCGCAACCCGACTATGCTGTTGGATTCAAGCGAACTGCATTCACCGAAGATCAGCTTAGAAAAATCCAGCCGTTTATTGGTGGTTATATGGAATTGTCTTTCTTTATGAGTACATACTATATGTACTTCCCATTTTTTACATGCGAGGTCAAGTGTGGTATTGCGGCTCTCGATATTGCTGATCGACAAAATGCTCATAGTATGACACTTGCAGTAAGAGGGATAGTTGAACTCTTTAGACTTGTAAAACGAGAAAAAGAGCTTCATCGAGAAATACTTGCATTTTCAATATCACACGATCATCGAATCGTAAGGATCTATGGTTATTATCCTGTAATTGATGAAAAGAAAACCACCTTCTTTCGCCATTCGATTCGTGAATTTTGTTTTACAGAATTGGATGGTAAAGAGAAATGGGTAGCATACAAGTTCACCAAGAATATCTACGATATCTGGATGCCGATTCATTTGAAGAGAATTTGTTCTATTATCGATGATTTACCCTCTGATTTAAATTTTGAGGTCTCACAGCAATCCGAATTAGGGGAATCGGGACTTTCACAAGGGTTTGAGCAAACAAGCTACGATGTTATGTCTTTGAATGAAACTGATAGTCAATCAAATCGTATCGGATCGGAGCATATTACTCCTGATGTCTTGCTGTCTCAGGAAATTGAGGAGGGAGTATTCAAAAAGCCAAAGAAAAGAGGTCGACAATAAATACCTATTAGTGTTCTTGTTTCTCATACATGACGGTCGACGAGGGGAGTCTGAACGCACGCACATACGCTAACCGCCAGTTTGCTGGGAATTGATGTACATGTTAGGTATTTTGTCACTGGAGGGTCTGAGGCTGTGCAATCAATGGTCACTCGTGAGAGGAATCCTAAGTTGTCATTTGCTCATGATACGAGATGATAAGCAGCGATTAGAAGAATTGAATTTCTTGTTTCGTCACTTATGTAAGTACCGTTCCAGTAACGTGTATGAGCGAAGAAAACTAGTGTGTAAGTGCGGATGAGCTATGAATCTCATCCACTATGCCTCTATGCGTTCGAATTGGAGTCGTTCTCGCTCGAAGATAAAGTATCCGAAGAGCCGATGAGCTCGGAGAAAGTCAATGTGGTACTGTAGATTGATGTCGTTGTTCTCTTTTCGTTCGGTCTTCTTAATGGGATTTACAGAGTATCGGACAAATTGATTTGAATTTATTTCAAATTCCATTCCTGAATTCTGTTTGAAAACGATGATTCGTTGAATGCGCGACTGATATTTTCCTTCTATGGCATCATCTGGATGAGAAAATGGCACATTAATAAGAGCTTCCTTTCTCTCTCCATCCCCTCTCTTTTGAACTTCTCAGCCAGCTTTAAGTGCATACAATGAAGAGCTTCTGTCGGCCACATATAGGAAGAAGCAAATATATTGTCCTTTTTTGAAACCAAGATGACACTAATCAACAGTCCTCGAATCCGGGTGCTTTGGTCTGACAGGTTTCCTGCTCACATTAGAAAGAGGGTTGGGGGCAAGCAAGTGTCAAATTTATACATATATTTCAACGAGGAACTGGAATATATCAAACAGCATATCAGAGATTTGGTAGCCATGAAATTAAGGGCTTATTTATGTACCAGAGAAGGGTTCTCAGGGAACGTTCTATGGTGTCTCTCTTAACAAGATGTTCAACAATCGTGGCCCGATTACTTATATACTTCTTGGTCTTTGTTGAGGGGCTACTCGGCAAGTACTCGAATCAAGAATGTTGAATTACTCAGAAGAGAAATGGATGCTTTTTGATTACGATTGCCGAGAATCTCATCCTTTTCAAAAATTCTGGGACCTATAGTTATCACCTAGCACGTCTTATGGTCGTATTTCTAATCAAAGGTGTATATGGAAATACTCACATACCACACTATCCATCTTGGTTCAAGTACCGACCGTCTTTTAGACTCGGATTCCTGCACTTTCTATGCGGAATAGGCTTTGTCTAGCTTCTGAATGATGGAATTGAAATGATTAAGATTCTACAAGTGTAGTTAGTAGGAGGGGATGGGGTATTAAAACCTTTCTATTTAGCGTTGTTTCTGGCCGTACATCGGAGAGGGCAGGGCGAGGGGGAAATGACGAGAGATTTGGTTATGTTTTGTTTGGTGAAGGGTGCTTGGGCGTAGGCAAGCCCTTTTGTGAGTGAGTACAATGAGTTTTCATGACAGGAGCATTTACAAAATTATGCGTGGGTTTCTGGGGAGTTTAAACACGGAGAATGAAGGATCATTTTGTATAGAGATATATCTGGTAGCTCAAATGGAAGGAGACACTGATGCTCGACTGATGAGCCTATCTGGCCCTAAAAGAAAATAGTAGTTCGTAAAAAATGCTATATCCATCCATCAAATTCTCTACTGTAAGCTAAATTCATTATACGACACCGGAATACAGACCTATGAATAAATTCCTGTCACTTTGAAATAGTACTTGCAATTTATATCCGTCCATCCTACACAATACAATTCTTCATCTTCATATAAACCCAAAATATCAAGAAGTATCTATCACCCATTCCATTCCGTCCCATTTAGTATTACAGTCATCAGCTCCCTTCCATCAAGTCAATTCAAGATATCCGATCTGTGGTAGCCAATTTATATTCTGGACACCATTCATCCAAGCTCATCATGTGTTGCTGAATGTATCTTGTAGGTTGATGAAGACCTGTATGGCTCGGGTATCAATTTCTATCCTTTTTCTTGCATCCAACAGATAAGAAAAGAAAAAAAGGGGGAAACAAGAAAAGAAGTCGGTACCTAAAGGATGAGGATGATCAATCGTCTCCACTGCAAATGTTCTTGCAATCTCCATACTCGGCAGATTAACTCCATCCTCAACACCCTCCTCAATCTCTCGATCTTGTAAATCTTTGAACCTAAACCAATCACACATTCATTAGCCTCGTGCACATCACCACTCGCCATTCCACACCACCAAAACCCACCCACCTAGCATAAAACCACTGATCCTCCGCCGGATGCGGATTATCACTATACTTCCACTCATCCAACACCCTCAAGATAGTCTTCCTACTCCTCATACTCAAACCCCCATTATACCCCTGCCCAAACTTTGGTTCAATAGGCGCACCAATCAAATCATATTCCATAAAATCATCTACACTCCTCGCCGCATTCGCACACAACATGCTATCCGACTGAAACAGCAAGATATGTTCCGCCGGCGCCAAATCCTCCCACAACCAGCGCGTAGTCAGAAACGCAGATACAGAATCCCAATTGTAGAACCAGGTTCCGGGAGCAAGAGAACGCACGATGATACGGCTCGAGTGCTGGTGTCGAAGGAGCGCGGCAGAGGTGGAGAAGGATCCGAAGTTCTCCGCGGATGTGTAGATGATGAGGGGCCAGGTTGGTCCTAGCACGGCTCTGAAATGGAGAATCAGAGGAATGATGTTGCCGGAGCGTCGGGTTTCGATTATAACGGCTACTTTGTTGCTGGTTGTTATATTTGCTGTTGGGGGCTGCGGCTTTGCACCGAGATCTTCTGATAAAGGCGTGGATGTGATATCAGTGTGAGCTACATGAGTTGAGTTATCGGCCGCGAAGCTGACGCTCCATGGATTTCCATCATTTCTCGAGTGCTCGATTGCAGTTCGCACGAATAAAATGAAGATGGTGAGATAGATGACTGGAAATAGCAGTTTTCGAGGTTTGGCCTTGAGGAAGTTTTCTTTGGCCGTGCTGATGTTGTAGTTACCCAACATAGCTGTCCCGAATTATGTAAAATGGAGATGAAGATACAAGCAGCTCCTGAGATTTGCACTTGTATAAATTGAAATTTGTTTCCCCTATTCTAGGGATGATGTGCTTGAGATACGCCATGCCGCATTCAGAGCTTTCTTTTTCTCCAAATTCGAAAATATGTGTATCTGAGACACTTTCATGCGAGGCTTTCAGTAAATATGATAATGATAATGATATACATGGATTTAAACTCCTTACTGTTATTCGGAATAAGTAACTCTTGTAATGTTCCTTCTCCTTCTTTGGTGCGCGTCAAAATTTCAAAGATATCACATTTGGACGTCGTCTCAAACAAGAAAAGACTGTCATTTTCTGGATGTCAAATTTCTTCACCTATTTTCTCTTTCTTTTCCACAAATACTAGACGAGACTTTAGAAAGCTTCTCAGTATTGTTTTCAAACATCAGTTTGGTAATAGAGATATTCTTTCGCATATGGCATTATTCTTCGTTGTGTTTGAAATCTTTCGCAAGTTTTGTCGTTTTCGTCGATTTCGCAACTCAACGATGTTGTCCGAAAACAGAGCGTGCACTTGCAACTCAGCTACCACCTTCCCGCAAAAAGCTAAAAGTTTTGTTAATGCATCATACAGTTGTATTTGCATTCGTTCAATATCTTATTCTCTCTTAACAATTATACTTGTACTCGACGCATTTGTCGATCTCAAATCACAATGACTTTGTTTCTGAGAACAGGTATCGTATATTTTTCGTGCCGAGTTTGTAGAAATTGTCAACATGGTTTATAATCTAGAAGGAACTGTTGTAGTGCTTCTCTCCCGTTAACCAATCCTCTTAAATTTGATTGCCTGAAATTTTGCGTGATCTATCACCATTTTCAACCCTGCAATCATGGTGACTAGATATCACAACTTCATTGTTGCATTTTTGTTGTTTGTTTGGGTGGTGTATTACGGAAATTCGATATCGGGTAAAGTACATTTGAATGATGGCAAAGGGATTAATGGCGGGGAAAGGAAGGCCAGCGGAAGTTTGAAGTTCCCACCGTCAATGAGTGGCGGTGAGGATGAAGGGGGTATCAAAAGAGTAGGCTGGCATGGGGGTGGTGGAAGCGTCGGAGCAGGGAATAAGGAATCAGAGGAGAATAGATTAGGAAGACTAGAAGAAATTGGAATGGGGAGGGGGCAAATTGCACCCGGTGATGCCAGTCCGCATGAAGAGAAAGTGTTGAAAGAGAATAAGGAGAAGCAAAGATTAAGAGAGGAGAAGAAAGCAGAGGACAGAAGGATTCAAGAGGAAAAGGAAGAGCAGGAGAGGAAAGCAAAAGAGGATCAAGAAAGAAAAGAGAACGAAGAAGAGGAAGATGCAGAGGAAAATGAGAATAGGGAGGAAGAAATGAAGGTTGAAATAATCGATGAGAATACGAATAATAACGGAGTGGAAGAAGCGAACGGCGAACACAAATTCCTCGCTCTCCGTTCGCTTTGCGAAACTACCACATTTCAACCCGGGCTCTACCTCCAGTGCCACTCCTGGTGTGGTCCCAACTCTACATCCGTCTGCGGTGGTCTAAACAATGCCCGTAATCGTATACAAACATGTCTCCGTTTGGCTCTAGACCTGGGTTCCGGAATCATCCTTCCCACAGTGCAATCGCATCGCAACGCCGAGAACGTCGTTGACTATGGCGACACCACTGACAATACTCTATGTCCAGACGTATATTGGGATGTTGAGTATCTTGTCCAGGAAATGGGTTCCGCTTGTCCAGAGCTAGAAATACGACAATGTGGGGATGTTTCTGGAATAGACGAGGATAAAATCATACAGATGAAGAAGAGAGAACACGGAGATGCCAGTCACCATATCGGCACGTTCAAAGCTATAGTGAACGAGCATTTAGAATCCCTTTCCCTCTCATCAATTTCAGTTGAAGATCCAGTCGCTGTTGGCTTTGGAAATACGATATATGCATACAATTATACATATGACTCGGAACAAGCCCTACAAAAAGAGCTCTTCCGTACCCTTAAATATAATCGCAATTTACTCGATCTCGGATCGAGGCTTCGATATAGTCCCGAGCTACGTGATGGATTTATTGGAGTTCATTTCCGGGGTGAAAGCGATTGGCCCCAAAATTTCGGTTCAAGGGAAGATCAAATGAATTTTTTCAAACAGGAAATCGAGCTTGCATCTACTGTCCAAGGGGCTGCCGAGGGTATCAAGACCATATATATAAGTTGTGGGGACGAAGCAGCCACCTCAACGTTTCGCGAGCCCCTTTCGGCACTAGGGTATCAGGTTTATGATAAGTGGAATTTGGCGTCATCTCTTTCCGAACCATCTTTGCTGTTAGAAGAAATAGAATTCGACACCATAGCTATTATTGACTATGCTGTGTTGGTTGAGGCAGCACTTTTCCTCGGAGTATGGATGTCGATATTTTCCCAAACCGTCGCATATGCGCGTACGGTGGAGCTCGAGCAGGACTACTGGGAAACTTATGTCAATCCAGGAAGCAGAAGGGATGGACTGACGAGATTGTGGGATCAAGCGCCTGCTTTGAAAGGAAATGAGACGACTAAGATATTAGTCGTTAACACGGGCGGTTTCAGTAATATGGATTCTTACCCGTGAGAGTAGCAAGTAGAGAATTTGAGTTGAGATTTGAGGGGTAGATGGATGAATATGCTTTTGTGTAATATAAGAAGAATTGGCTACATTGCTCGTGCAGATAACCTTTCAAGCCATCCGTCCAGTTTCTCGATCGAAAACGGATCTCCGGACTTATGTCCGGTATCAAATTGCACAGTCAAACCTGTGTATCGAAGCACTAGAGTCAATGTGTATTTGCTAACACATCGAGCCAGGAATAAGGGTGGTAAGAACTAAAATGAATTCAACTTTATATTATTATATCATGCTAGCCAATCTACAATTTACCCTCCTTCGACTTCAGGATGTATTCCATATAATCCCACAAATATGTACTCGAGGTATGTTCAGGATATATGAGATACTCCACGCTAGTGCTAGATGTTGTATCGAAATGGCCAGTTTTGGCAATGTATGTAAGCCTGTTTTATCATGATGTTGTGGCTTCATAACATCGTTTGTGCTTGATCTGTACATGTGTGAAAGCACCGGAATGCCCTGAAAGGATAGCAGATCGAGAACGGCCGTTGCGATTGTTCCATTCCATTCCTTCTGCGACTGACCGTGGCCGTGAAGTTCAAGAGACAACGAATTTCCTAGGAGTTTATCGGCTTGGTCACAGGCACAGATAATCATCATCCTGTGACGTATAGTGTTCTTGGATAGTAGACCTGTTTTCCCAGGGGAACTCTAGGAAGCCTTTTTACTTCTGAATTTCTTTTGAATCTCCTCCTCTGTAAACTTGCGGGTTTTCGTCCTGAGCATAGCTGCCAGCTCTTCTTTGCTCTTCCCAATATTTTCCCCTGTCGGAACGAGACATCCAGCAAGATGTTCATAATCCTTCTGCATCAGTTTGATGAACATCATAATGTAATCGATATTTTGGAAGACGAGAGCTTTGCCAGAATCGTACTTTTGTTTTCCTTTCAGATAACTAAGTGGTTGATCGCGCCAATGTCGAAGTGGATTGAGATGATGGGCGGTATGCCAACCGTCGTTGAAGCAATTTCGGTTGCTCTACAAAACAAGGAGTTAGTTATGAATTTGAACAGTGCCATGAATTCAAGGAATGGTCTCTTACCGCCACGTCAATCAGAACAATGGAAGATCTGTAATCCGAATCGGGATCAATTTCATCAACCAATGCATGCTGCCCCCAATTCCCTACCATTAATCCAATTCGCATTTGCATGAATGGTATTAACAATACAAAGAGGGTGGGCCAGAAGTTCAATCTAGCCATCACATACATACCCACGTATGAGCCAATTTCCCAGAACAGCACCTCGCACGCCAATCTCATTTTGTTGGTCCGGAAAAAGTATAATGGAAGCTCAAGCCAGACAAAGAACACAAAGCGACCCCAGTACTTCAGGAAATCAATTATATCATCCCGTTGATACCGCAGAGTCGAAGAAACATCATCTGGTCCATTGCCCTCAACATGATGACATTTGACATGGTGGTAGTAATAAGAATGTAATGTGTGGCCCATGAGGGGTTCAAGGAGGTATGGGAACATTTGATCGAGCCATGCGTATTTCTTTACTAGAACTCCGTTGTTATGAATATGGTTGTGAAGCATAAGGGTGAAAGGTCCGCAGTAAAGTGACTGCATGATCCAATGGCAGAAACCATGTATCAATGAGAACCTGTTGTATAAAATGATAGCGCTCGGAACCGACGTGGCGAGGTAAAGGATGATATGTGTCAGGAAGACAACATCTGTTGGCCGACGCACTACTCCTTTCGCCCATTGTATGTATGGCTCAAGTATGTATCGGTATACGGGACGGGGGAGGCGTTCAAGATCTTCTTGATCCCAACTTGTAAATACTGTAGGTTGGAATTTTTCGTTGCTCTCATCGTTGAGAGCTTCTAAAATCGAGATTTGCTCGTCGATCTGAGTTTGGCTTTCTTGACTTGAAGGAGTGTTTGCGGGATTGGCTTTGTTACTTTTTTGCACATCTTTCAGTAGTAACTCAAGCACCCTTCTATCGGGTTGAGTTAAGTTGGGATTCATGGCTTGGAGATCCATGATGTTGTAGATAATTGGTTGTTAACCAAAATTATTTGTGATACTCGTAGAAGGACATGAATGAATATTTGTATTAAAAGGAATCTCTTTGGAACGGACCATAATTTTTGCGATTGAACTAGCAGATTCACCCACCTAGTACCGGTACTGTGAAAATCGCAAATACCCTTATTAATTCTCTACGATATGAAGACCCATCGTGAGAAGATCAGGGTCTAAACCATACCTGTTATCACCCATACCGCGCGTTTTCTATTATTGCTTCATCTAGACCGGGAGCCCCTTTATGTGCGTAAATGCACGTGAGGTCGATGTGTTGGTGGAGTTTATGACCGAAAACGGACGGGAAGGATTATAGAAGGTGTAAACCTGCAAATCATCATAAGCTCTATGGCTTGGAAGCTGCCATCCTCATGGCAACAGCTGTTCGCAGGTAAGCTTGCTGTTATTTAGATGAGTGTTATTGGCTGTCATTTTCCCGGTCAATCATCAATCCATCAGTATTAGTAGTATCATCATGAACAAATAATATACTTTGACCGCTATATACCTAGAGAGAGAGATGCGGTGGCAACTTTGTAGATAAATCTTTGAAGAAGTGGATTCCATTCCAAAACTCGATTGCAATCTGTTGAGTGCGAATCATGAAAGGAATTGAAACAATGGCTCGAGAATAATGGATACTGCACTACCTAGGTACTTTGGAAAGACTGCCGAGCTATCAGAATTACAGATCACCAGGATACGAAGCTTGAGCTTTGAGGCGAACCATGCTTAGTAAGCCACCTTCCGAAACTCCAAAAACCTAACACCTACTATTATTAATTGATGATAGCTCGTATGCGTTTTACCAATTGATAGGCCTGTACGAATTGACCTGCAAATGCATCATGTCTTGGGAGCTTGTCGGTAGAGAGATATAATCACATTTAATCAATCATCGTCTTTCTCCTATTCTACAACTTCCTCAAGCAAACCTATATGTATATCTACATTTATATATATACGCACAGCAATGCTAGTGCTGCAAACTGCTCAATCCGCTCCAGCCCGTCTATGAGTATATTGCCACATACAAATAACAATGACGCTAATCATCAACATCGCTCATGTATGGTATCAATGCATTCTTCGTCACTGCCCTTACAGTTGTTTTCTCTTTATGTTGCTTATTTCTTGTAATCCTCTGGTCCAACCATCAACTCCGGTCTAACCAACTTATCGAAGTCCTCTTCACTCAAAGCCTTCAACTCCATGGCTGACTCCTTCAAGGTCAATCCTTTCTTGTGGGCATTCTTGGCCACTTTGCTAGCCATATCGTAACCGATTTTTGGGTTCAGGCAGGTGACTAACATGAGACTATTGAGATTTTTGTTAATACTTGCTGTTTTAAGGCTCGAAGGAAGGGGAAGATGGGATTAATAAGTGAAATCGGTATACGCACGATTCTTTCAGGATACTTTGAATCTTTTCTTCATTGGCTTGTAATCCAACCACCAAGTTCTTCTCAAAGCTTCTCATTCCATCGCTCAAGATTCGAATGCTGTGCAACAGATTTCTAATAACCAATGGCTTGAATACGTTTAACTCAAACTGGCCGTTCATGCCACCAATGGTTGTGGCAGTGCCGTTTCCAATAACCTGGGCGCAAACCATAGTGATGGCCTCGCATTGGGTTGGGTTGACTTTACCCGGCATGATCGAACTTCCAGGCTCGTTTTCTGGTAGGGCAAGCTCGCCGAGGCCACATCGAGGACCGGATCCAAGATATCGGATATCTTGGGCAATCTTAAAGAGGGATGAGGCGAGGGTGGTGAGGGATCCAGAAGCTTGAACAATTGCATCGTGAGCTGCAAGAGCTTCGAATTTGTTAGGTGCAGTGGTGAATTGGGTTCCGGTCATCTTAGTAACCTCTTCTGCGATAGCTTCTGCGAATCCCTTGAAAGTGTTGATACCAGTACCTACAGCAGTTCCTCCTTGCGCTAAGAGTCTAAGGTGGGGAAGGGATGATTCGACACGCTCGATACCATAATCAAGTTGTGCGACATATCCGGAAAACTCCTGGGCGAGGGTAAGAGGAGTTGCATCTTGCAAATGGGTTCGTCCAATCTTAATAATATTCTTCGCCTCAAATTCATCTACTTTAGCTTGGAGAGCATCTCGTAATGACTTAGTCGCAGGGAGGAGCTCATTCTCGATTTCGAGGACTGCAGCAATGTGCATAACAGTAGGGAACGTATCGTTTGAAGAAGCTGACATGTTGACGTGATCGTTAGGGTGAACTGGTTTCTTGCTTCCCATGGTTCCGCCCAAAATTTCAATAGCCCGGTTCGAGATAACCTCATTAGCATTCATATTTGACTGGGTTCCAGAGCCGGTTTGCCAGACGACAAGAGGGAAATGATCGAGCAACTTAAGATCTGCGACTTCCTTGGCAGCCTCTTGAATAGCTTTTCCGAGCTTTGGGTCTGTCGAAATTTCGTCAGCTCATGTCCTAACGTGTCTCTCCTTTATGTAGGCGTACCTAGACCAAATTGCATGTTGACAGTCGCAGCCGCGCCCTTCAAAATACCAAAAGCCTTAATAATTGGAGGAGGCATGCGATCTTGAGGCTGATTTATCTTGAAGTTCTCCAACGAACGCTCAGTCTGCGCTCCCCAATATTTGTCCGCGGGGACCTCGACGTTTCCAAAAGCATCGGATTCGGTTCTTGTTTGCGACATGTTGTATGTAGTTGCGTGAAAATTTCTTTGCAGACGAGGAAACGAAGATTGCAAGCTCTTAAGCTTATATGATGAAGGAGCAGAATTGAGGACCCGAGTCGCAGATTTGCTCGTGATGTTGACGGCATTCGCGGGGCAGGTGGAGGTGGTGAATGTACGAGCTATTGCCCGAGGCAACGGAGCTCGAAGTGTGGATGTCCGAAGCATTGTGACTGTTCCAAAAAAGTACAAAATCTTACAAAGTTGCAAATTGTGTTCAATTTCACTCAATTGAAATCTTGGGGATGCCCGTACTTAAATCAACTGCAGTTAAGAATTGCTAAGAGTCAGTAGTGGGCACGGAGGGTGGGTATCATAGCAGCAAGTCAAAATTTATGGACTCCAAAAGTTTCACCCGCCATAAAAATCGTCTTGGCGGAAACTATCGGCATCGGGACATTCCGGCAATTCCGCCGTGTTGAATATAGTTCTTACGTAATGACCATTTATTACTCGGGACACATACTGTATGTATCAAGGACAACGATACAATGCCTCGAGGTCCTAAAGTTAGGAATGCTACGGCACAAAACCAACGTCCAATTCTTCTGCTTTCCATATTGCCATTAGTTATTGGCCTTAATCTCTTGTGTATTCCAGATAGCGAGGTGCTTGAGGCTTGATTGAGCACAATGAACTTCGATACCCTTTCTGCACTACCAACCATTCTCGCCAGTAAAGCATTTCACGTGCATGTAACAACTCCAAGATTCTCTCCAAAAAGACACTACAATCTCATCTCTCAAATCAAAGATTTCCCCTTCCTCCTATTCCATCTTCCTCCGTCTGGACATGCAAGAATGAATAGCAGTTTGTTGGTTGCCGCAACATATGGACGGATTCTCTAAAAATCTGATTCCAATCATCTTTCCTCTAGTCTACTTTTTCATGAGAGATGTGCAGTATTGTACGCCAGAATAGTGTTGTCAAATTCCTATTTTAAGTCTCAATATTCAGTTCTATATCATGTTGTTCCATCGGGAAATCATGAATTTCTGCCAATTTCTAAAAACAATCTCCTATGCTCCCCAAAGGAATGCCCTCAAAAGGTTGAATTTAGCACACCAGATTCTTTCACTCCACTCCAGATACTTGCTAAATAATACACATTGCACTCCATGGTAGTGTCCTGAATACATCGCGTAAGTATTCAATAGTGTTGACAACGAAGGTGTTGTTTTGAGACCTGAGATCAGGTTATATGAACGGAAAAGTGTACTAGGAGATGAACGAACAGTCAACTGTAAAACCAAAAAATGTAACCTTGGCATTTTTCCAGATGACTTTATCACATCATCCGCTGACTAGAGAAAAAATGCATCCACCATCACCAAGCCGATTCGAGATACGCAGGATCCAACGCAGCAATCTAAGAATTGAGACGATGTGGTATTCAGAGATTGTTCAGTTGAACTCCGCAAGTGGTTCGCTTTGAATGAATACTGTGAGGAAGATCCAGGGGATAGCTTAGAGAACGCTGTAGCAAGAACTGAGGAGAAAGGTAAGTTTCGTGTTCTGGGTACATACAAAGCAACTGCAGACTTCATTGATTATCAAGAGATGTCCGAGCGATTGTTGAGCCTTGACTTTGAATTCCTGTGGGAAATCCTGAACGACTATTCGAAATACCATGAATTTCCTCTGCTAGAGGAGGCTTTTGTACACGGAGAATTTCACACGCCCCCAAACTTCCTTTCAGATACTCTGGCAGTATTCTTTTCTCTTCGCGATGTGCAAATTATGCAAGATTCCGAGTTTCGAAAAACTGTACTAGATTCAGAATACACGGCGAAGGAGAAACCAGATCTGGCATGGCTTTGGTCTGTCCAACAATGGAATCCTGCATTTGATGGAGGCAATTATGTTTCCTGTTGTGAAAGAAGAGATTGTTTAAGATCATAGGGCTATGTAATGTGGGACAGCGCAAGATTCAGGATATGTAGCCATACAGGCCAAAAGTAATCCGAGGACCATTGTTGACGGATCACCCCCAGGCAAACGAAAGCTGATATCTGAGTTAAATATGACTGTGTAGAGGCGAAAAGTTCTTTAGATAAAGCCTCATTATTTGTTGGTTACGTGGATGTCCCTTTACTCCAGTTTGAGAGAACGAAAAGAGATCAGTAGAATCTCAAACTTTTCTTTTGCAGTACTAACACTGGTAAAATTTCAATTAGCTACCCTAATAATCAAACTCTCCACCAAGTCTCCTCAATGCCACCACCTCCTTGCTCAAGCTATCCTGTCCATCAACAGATCTGCTTCAACATCTTCTAACCCCATAGAGAACAAGTTGTGCATTCCTTCCCACGTAGCGACCCACAACTTCGATATCAAAATATTCAATGCCGGATCGCAGCCCAAAATAGAAAGATTGAAATTGTACAGCATAACTGTTGCAAAAAAGTAGAGTAGAACAAGCCGAGGACAATTCACGGTGTTAAAATCGGCCCATGACAAAGTTGTGAGATGAAACGAGGAACAAAAGCGCTTTGCCTTGACTCAAAGAGAGGAATAGGTGACTATTTGATGTGGCTTGACAAAAAACACAAAATCAAGTATTCGTAAGCCGCTTAAGGTTGTTGATAGGCGTGCATAGTACGACTTTCCAGCACAACGCAACGCTCCAATAATCACGTGAACATTTCGATGGATTTAAGTGAAGGATCCTATACGTGATCACAAACTCCCAGGTGCTAATTGCACAACACCCCTTTGGAGAATGAATGCAAATCAAGCTAGGGATTTTCGCACTCTGATAGGTCCAACCACATTTGCTAATCTGGGTCCAAGATCTCCTTCAAGCACAACGCCTTTCTGTAAGATCTCAACGTCATTGTTCTCTCGCATCGTGAACAGAATTGATCGAATATCTGGCATGGCTTCACGCCAGCAGGAATAACCCAATGCTTGAAGCTCCGGATGAGTGAGTGCTCGAGCGACTTCGGAAGGACAGAAAGTTTTGGGTGATTGGCGTGATGCTAGAAAGTGATTTATATAAGGTTCAATTGTCGAGATAGAATCATGATTTGCAGCGTTATCCATCGAAAAAGTAGAACTATATTAGATCAATTTTTGTCAGTCGAAGTATTCGGCATCAAAGATCTCGAGCTTTCAAGGGTGATAAAGACTAGTGAAAGCCTTGGCGCGATTAGCCGAAGCCAAATCTGGAACCATCTTCTACAAACGACACGAAGAGATTGTTCTTAGCATGATCGATAACAATGAACTGAGATTGTGTTTGCTGTTATGTAAATGAAATTTTACATTCTATCGTATAGCTTCTTTCTTCATTCAAGTACTATGAATAAGTGGCCTACCTGGCCAGTTCATGGGTATCATCGTGTACAGAGTTCCCCTATCCCCAACCGTGCCCAAAGCGCCCTTCGTCTCTGCCCTCACTTTTAAGATCATTTTATACAGTATTCTGATACATAAACACACCCAATATCCGTTGCGCCAATGCTACACCACTGCCCCCAAGTGGGCTAATAACGCCTTTGAAACGCCCAATGCAACCTCCATATCCAGCCGCAGGTAACATCACGCATTAAGCTCCAATTGCTAGACATGAATCTAGTACCATATCCAATGCAGCTCGATCTTGATATTCGGCACCTTCCCATCCCCAATCGTCGATGTCACTCATCGGTTCGTCTATTGCGTGCCCGTTGACGCCATTAGTTAAACCGTTGACCTCGAGACCACCCATCTCGATGTCGCCATCTTCATCCTCAGTAACAATTCTTCCCTGAGGCCCAAGGCGTGTGAATGCGTTCCAATCCTCTAGCTCGCCTTCTTGGTATCCAAACATAATTTGCTGAACAACGACTGGCATTTGCCCTAAACCACAATCGGAAATTTCAAGTGCAGTTCGTACATCAGCCATGCCTAGGGGACCTCGTTCACTTGCTGCGCGGGCCTCGGTGGGTAATAAGCCGTTTTTGTCTCGAAGAACTTCGTTGCGCAACGAGGATTCTTCCTCCCTTTCTAACTGCCTGCGATACTTATGCGTTTGTACCCAGGAGGAACCCCCGCCTGTTCCAGCACTACCCGTAGACCCAGGTCCATTGCTTCTCGTTTTGCTGAATATCGATGATAAGACCTCTTTAATAAACGTTTCTGTTGCCACAGACATGAACTGAGCTGCATCTTGTACATGGCCATTGACTAATCCTGTTTCGTAGCATATGGGAAGCATTCGCGATTCGATAGTTGTCATGTCAGGAAATTCTCCCGATTCCAAGGCTAGAGGTAAAGCATATCTTTTCCGAATCTCCAGATCCCAATCTTCAAAAACATATAAGTAATATGAAACTTGCAAGGTTCGGTGGTTATGAATAACTTACTAGTTTTATTCAGACCACCAGCACTAGCAGGCACAATCTCGGGCTGCCGTGCTGGCTTCGGTCGGCGATGCTCGGTTAACATTGTCGCAAACGCATCGAACGGGTCGAACTAAAAAGCGATTCAGCACAGATTCATAATAACTCCATATAAGCAAAATATATCTCACATCATTTTGAGAAAGATCCTTCAACCTTCTCCTATCACGACTCGGTAGTTGCATGACTTCCGTCTTAAGTCTTTGTTCTGCCGCATCGCCGCTAACCGGCTTACTCCCAGCTCCTGTTGCAGGTTTATCATTTGCACTGACCCAGCTTGCCACGCCCTGGTCAGGCATTTCACGAGTTGTGTTCGCATAAATGGCAGATATCAATTGATTGTGAAGATGTTCGATTTCGCCAGTATTTGTTATGAGAAAATGATCAATTCGGGACGAAAGTTCAATTTGGTTCATGTGCCCTGAAACAAAGGATTAACGTAATGCTAACACGCGTGATTATCGCCCCTCACAAGGGACGATAACTCTCATCACATACCCATAAGAAACAAGCCAATTGAATCTTTGTATATCCCAAAATTCTCCCCAATGGCAGACTTGACTGCCGTATACAACGGTTCAAGGTCGATGCGCGGCGGAACATGATTGAATTTTGCAGATTTTTGTACCGGTGTTGTCGCAGTAAGTGATTTGTTGGGTAGAACAGGAGTTGGACTCTTATTCGTCACACTCGAGCGACTCAAGGCCGCTGGATCAATATCGGGCATGATGACTGTGGGAGCTATTCAGGCTCGCGCGACCACGCTCTCAAGGCGCGAAAACCTTCAATTTTCTATCGCCCATAAATAGAGAAGTAGCGGAAGAATTGGATGACACAAATTCAAAATAAGAACTGTAGATTTGATAGCGTGGTTGATGATTGAATGATGGTCGACTCGGGGCATAACATAGAGGTGACGTTGAGAGAGTCCGTTGGCCTTGTAGCCTTATGTAAGAAATCTGGAGTTCTAGGGTAACCTACGAGCCCACCTTCCCTTGTACTGTCACTACAAATCAAACCAAACCCCTCAAAATTGAAGTAAATAAATCATCGCGTGTGATCCCTATCAACGCGTCCACTCTTTTGATCAACTCTCATGAAGTTTAACGAATATATGTTTCTCTGAGGATTAAGATAAAGGTCGCAGATATTCAATTATCGCAACGATGCAATTATGTCCTCACGAACTACTCGTATCTCCACTGCTATTGATAGCTTAGTGCGCCGATTTCAAGTAGATATTCCGGGAGAAGATCCTGCAGACGCAGAAGAGAGGGAAAGCAATGCTACCGACTTTGTACGGGAAATTTTGGGAAGGTATTGACTTTGGAACCTGTGCGCAGTATTATGGAATGCTGATTTTGCAATTTATGTAGCTCAAAAACAACTGCTGTTGTCGCAGACGTAAATCAAGCTTCGGATTTGATAAAGAAACGATTAATACAGACAAACCCAAGTCCTAATGAAGCTTTACGATTTACAAACCTATATAGCCGGCTCCTCTCCATACCGGTCATTACACAAAAATGGGCAGTGCTTTACTTTCTGTATCAACTAGGCGACCAAGAGCAAGTCAGACCTTCTGGACTGACGAGCCCTTTTATGAGTCCAGTAAACAAGAAGAATCCTAGGAGACCTGCCGAGGACCAAGATACTGCCAGCGCTGCTTCTCTTCGAGATATCCGTCGGAACATTCAGGTAGATGGAACTTTTGACTCTCAAAGCCAAACATCGCGAGAAGAGAGAGAATTCGACGATGCTTTTGCGCCTGCTGGACTGAGGAAGTTACCGGAACGAGAAGGGGGCCAGAAAGATCGAAAGGAGGAAGAACAGGCATTTGCGAAGACACCAAGTAGCCAGCGTGAGGCCGTCGCATTGAAGACGGCTCTATTGGCTGAGAATTATGTCGAAATTGATCCCCCGGAAACCGCACTACTGAGAGACTTGCCATTCACATTACAAGGCCTATCGTCCTCGAATTTACCATTTGATGCCCAATCAAACCTTAGACTACCCGATACTTTACCTGTACCAATAATTTCAATTCTCCATACATTAGCTGAGCCATCGCTGTTATACAGAAGTTTATCTGGGTTTGTGCAGACAAGCGACGGCGGTCTCCTAGGACAGAGTCTACGAGCCGCTATTGCGGGAGAGCTTAGGTCATATCTTGGACTAGTAGCAACGCTAGAAGGTCAAATCCGACGAGCACTTTCATCGTTAGACGAGAATGAGCCAAGAGGAGGTGTTGGAAAGGCAGGGGTCACTCTTAAGAGATGCGTAGTATGGACCCGAGAAGCGACGATGGGCTTGAGATTGATGAGCCTAATTAGTGAGGAATCAAAAAGCAAAAAGGGCGGCCAACTCATCACGTTGATCCATGGATTTTCATCGTCGCATGGGGATCCAATGGTAGGAGCTTTCGCCGAACGGTTATTGATTCATGTTACTCGGCCGTTTTATGATATGCTTCGACATTGGATATATGATGGAGAATTATCCGATCCATATCATGAA